GCGAGGGGCCGCCACCGCGAGTCCCGGCCCGGCTGTGTGCGCTGAGGTTGCAGGCCGGTGCGAGGGCGATGGGGACTGTGGTGGAGGTCGGAGGTCAGCGGTCAGCGGCCCCTGCTGCCCGCCCACCCTGCTCCAAGCGACGACATGGCCCTGCGCGGCTGCCGGGCTCCGGGGCTCAGGCTCAACCTCCCACCGAGACGCGGAGACGCCGAGACGTCGCGATGCCGCGCAGACGCGGAGACCGAGCCGGCGCGGGGCCTGCAGCCGCCCCAGGGGCCTGGCGGCCCTGCCGTCCCCCAGAGCTGGGGAGCGCAGGGGCAGCATCCTCTTGGCTGGCGGCCGGGGCTTCCCAAGGACCCTCCCTGTGGCTGGACGTTCTCGGCCCCTGAGCGGGCTGTCAGCTCCGTGGAGGGTGCGGAGAGGAGACACCCTCTGCGGGTGGGCTGGAGGCGCCCTCAGGGCCACCTTCCCGCAGCTGCGGGCGCCGCCGGCCCCTCGGCCAGGGCCGGCACCCGTGAGCCCGCAGTGGCCTGACTCAAGCTTTACCCGGCTCTCGGCCAGCGCGGTCGAGCTGCACCGTCCTCCACGGCGACTGGGGGCCCAACGGTGGTGAGTCGGGCTGCGCCAGGCAGGTGCTGAGGAGCCGGTCAGGGGCCACGGTGCCTGCTTGGCCTGACTGCCACGGCGGCGCCGACGGCGCAGGGCGCCCGGGCAGTAAAGACCCGCAGGTCATCAGCTCTGACTCGGGTCAGGGCGGAGGCCTCTCACCTCTGCGGATCTGGGGAGAACAATGTGCTCGAGGCAGCTGGGTCCCGGGCACTGGTGGCCGCTGCACGGCCACGCCTGGGCTGCGCCCCCTGCGGCAGGTGGGACTAGGAACAGGAGCCTGAGTCAGCCGAGAGCTCCCTGGCAGCTGCGGACTCGGGGCCGCGGGGCCCAGAGCGGCGACCTGCTTCCGAGGCGTCTGTCGCGTCCAGTGCTGAAGACAGTGGCCGCTGACCCCGGCCGTGGGCCTCGTGCTGAGAGGGGCCTTGGAAGCGGAAGGCAGCTGTGTCCTCCTCCCGCTGCCCTCTGGCTCCAAGTGCCTCCTGAGCGCGTGAGGGGGCTGGTCACGCGCTGCTGGCCCAGCTGTTCCTGGCTGCTGGGCGGCCCCCCCGAAGGCGGCCACCCCCCCCCAAGGTGCCCCCGGGAAGGCGGGGCTGGACATCCACTCTGTCTGAGGGGACAGCAGGTGCAGCCGGAGGAGGTCACGGGTCGGAAGTCGAGGCCGAGTGTCTCCGGTTTCAACCCAGGACGTCGTTCTGAGCGACGTGAAGTTCGTGCAGGCAGCGTGCCGGCCGGCGGCCCGCAGTGGACACGGCCAGGGGCCAGGCTGCCCCCGCCGGCCCTCACAGCGCGCTTCTCAGTCCCGCAGGTGCCCACGATCACCCGGCAGTCCGGCGAACAGGTCGCCCTCCCCTTCGACGAGCACTTCTTGATGGAGTGCGAGGCCACCGGGAACCCGCAGCCGCAGTGA